ATATATATATATATATACACACACACACATCCATACACAATGTGTGTGTGTGTGTGTGTGTGTGTTCACACACGCATACATGTTGTATGGCACATGGCCAAGAGGTTAGAACATTTGCTTTCCGACTATGAGACCCATGATAAATTTATCATAAGGTGACTTCTTGGTTATCAGTCTGGGGAGACAATACTAGTGTGCAGTGTTTTGAAAAGTGCTTGAAAACCTGTGTGACCTGTACCCAATTGTGGAAGTGGGTGCCTTATTTTGCTGGAACAGAACATCACCATGAGTATACATGGCCAATATAAAGGTGTTCAAATGATCTGTACCAAGATTTATATATGTCACACTTATCAAAACAGGCTCATAGTGCAATCTACTTCTTGTAAGCTACAAAAGAACATAAACCACAATTTTACAGAGCTACTACCAACTAGCACAACGCACAAAGAACAGGCAGGATCCATAGCCTCATGTAATCTTCTTCACACCTGACTCAACCACCTGTCCAAAAGTGCTGTAAATATTACTTGCCTGACCAGTCTTCAACAGCAGCAGGTGAAAATGTTCTCTAGCCCAGGTGAGACAGAGTCATTTTAGTATTAATAAGAGTAGCTCTGTTAGTCAATAATTACAAAACCCCAGGGAATGCAATGTAAGTTGTATGAGGAGATGCTCATCAGTTCATAGGCTGATCTACATTCCAAAATCTGACTAAATGGCCAAACATTAAAAGTTATTTTAAATCCTTTCTCTGTTGAGCCACAAACATTTCAGCACCCTCTCATAATACAAAATCAATCAAGATATTTCATCTTTATCATATCTGAAATTATAATGAACCAATTTTATTCACCACAGCCTTCTAAAATCTCACCAGCTTGCTTATTTGGTGTACAGCCAGTGGGCATTGATGAACACAATTTATTTGGAATACAGGAACTTCTTTAGCCACATGAAAGCAATTCTGATTTTTAAATTGAAAAATCTACCAGACATTTTCAATTTTAACATAAATATTCATGGGAAAATCTAAAATTATTATATCAATCACAGGTAATTATAATAATAAATTATAAAAAAAAACTCTACAGTAAAAAGAGAAAATCAAAGTCTATATATTCCTATTTTTTTAAAAAATGCTTATATACGTAATAAACATGCATGGATAAGTGATAAAAATGCTAAGTGTTGCTATTCCAAGACTTGTGTTCAAATCTCACCAGAGTTGCTTTCAAAGAGGTAACTTCTTAAAAATCAGCCAAGGGAGAAAAATCTCAGCATTCAGCACCATGGAGAAGTGCCTGAAAACCACATCATGGGTTGACTCAAGCCTTGTCAGTAAAATTTGGTAGATGAAACTGTTCAGGAGCAAGTACATTGTGCATATTGAACTAGTCCAACTACTCATCCCACCAAATTACATGCTCCTACCCAAAAACTGTAATAGAAGATCATTCAGCATGTGACTATATTTCTGAGATGAGGTATTATGTACACTATTTACATTACAAGGACACATGGCACAGTGGATAAAGGCGTTAGTTAGACCCAGTGACAGGACCCAAAGAGTGTGGGTTCAATACCTGGTTATGGTAGTGGAGAACTTGGAGAGGGGAATTAACAGGAAATAACTGATAACTGACATCCATTAGACATGGCACATGGAACTAAAACAGTCTACCCCAGTGAGCGAAATAAAGGGTTCAGTTCGACATTCCAACCACCTGGAGAAGGCTGGAGTGTACAACGGCCAAAATGTTGTGATAAATATGGCGATAAAAATGAGGACAATAGTCCGAATAATGTACATAGTGTATCACTCAGCATAGTTACAATATAAACGACAGGTTGGCTCTGCAGGTGTTGATAAAATATAAAATGTACCTGTGCAGATATGAGTGTACTCAAAAACAAACAACCAGAAATTATCATTTAACTTTTTTTTAATTTTGACAACAAATTTGTCTACCTTATCGCAAGATATGTACAAAATTTTGTGGTGAACTTTTCACTGTGGCCTGAGTTACAAGGAGTTTTACTTAAAGCTATATTTTATTATATATATATATATATATATATATATATATATATATATATATATATATATTCAATTAACAAACAAATTGGACATAGTTGCACATTTTGTCACAAGCTAATGTCTGCTTTTGGGATTGATTGATTTGTGTGTTGTGTTTGATTATATTTTTAAAAATACTTTGAATACACATTTAGTGATTTTCTCAATGACTGATAAAAGAACAACAGAGAGTGTGCATGAAATTTTGTTTTTCTGAAGAAGGCATGATACAGCACATGAAACTGTTGCAATGCTTCAAGAATCATTTCAGGCAAAATATTTAGGTAAAATACAAGTGTACAAGTGGTATTCAGGTTTCAAATCTAGCTAAACTTTAAAAGGATGAAATTATAAAAATTTTGTAATAGTAAACTATTAAAAACAATTAAACAATTAAAAAAGCAATATATTGGGATAATTGATGAGACATTTACGGTGATTAGTTTGTCTTGGTGTTCATGCAACAAATGTTAACAGAAGATTTGAAAATGAAATGCATTTCGGCAAATTTTATGCATTATTCATCACAGAAGATAAAAAAGTAATCATTTGAATATATGGAACAATTTGAGGAAACAAGTTTGAAATGAAATACAGATTTTTCCCAATGATACAACTCAAGAAGATTATTGGTTAGAACCCAAAAATAAAAGGAACTTGAATCAAAAGGAAAACATTAAATTTACCAAAAGCCAAGATGCTACAGCAGGTGAGATGAAATGTCAGGATCATGCAAATATGTTTCTTTGAAATGAATGTAATTGGGCACAAGAGATTTGCTCCACCTGGACATACACTGAATCAGCAATTCTATTTCGAGGGGGTGAGATTGCATAACAGCATGGGGGGGAAATAAGTCAGAAATGATTAACACTTTCTTTTCAAAATTATTAACATTTTAAGCAAATAATTTGCTTAAGTTTGAGCACCTCTTTTATATATATTTATCACTTAAGCTGTTTTTAGTGAATACTCATATTGAGTAGGTGCTCCATTTAGTTACTAACAGTATATTTATTTTCAACTACTGGCCTGAAAGTTTGAGAAAACCTTATTAAAGAAAATTTTGCACTCTCAAGCAGGAATCAATCAAACCTGCATTCCTCAAAGCAGAAAGAGCTGCCATTTAGCCGAATGTGTCCTACTGACTTTGCCACAAAGAGTAGTCAGTTGGATGAAGCCAATTTGTGCTTTTAAGCAAAATTTTTCCCATCATAGATCACTCAAATTTTTTCATATCTGCATGCAGTTTCATATCCAAATGTAAACAAAGATAATTTAACAAGTCAGTAAGGTGCATTGGCTAAACAGTGGCTTTCTCTGTCCTGAGGAATGCATGTTTCATTCCTGCCAGAGAGTGCAAATTTTTTTTCAAGAAGATTTCTCAATCTCTCTGGCTGGTAAATAAATATATATATAATGTTTAATGAATAAACAGAATGCCTAATTAAATACAAGTTCCCACTAAAAATAATGTTTAAAGTAATAAAAAATCTGTCAGATTAATAAAAAATCCAATATATATATATATATATATATGTGTATGTATGTATGTATGTATGTATGTAAGTATATGCAATGTAATTAATGGAAATTGATCCAACATTATTATTATTTCTTGTCACCATAAACACGATTGCTTTAGGAAGTCGCTCTGTCTGAGTATATTTCCTTTAATAAAACTTTCGATGATCAAAGCCAGTAGTCATAAATTTGATTGTTTAAAAGAAAAACCAAAGTCTATTCAAACACATGTACACACTAAAGAATTTATAGTAATAATATATACTGCCAAATTAAAAAATCCAATGACTGTTTAAATCACTTGTTTTATGTTTCAAGTAAAAAAAACAAGTTAGCACATATAGATACTGAAATGTTCCAACAAGTGACACACATTTCTTTAAAAAAAAAAAAAAAAAAAAAAGAGAGAGAAAGAAAAGAGAAAAAAAACAAAGGCACCTTGTGACAGAAACAGTAAAGTCACATCTAGCTAAAAGGTTGTTAAGGTGATGCAGGTATGATTCCTGCCAAGAAGTACATTTTCTTTAATGAGACTTTTGATGATCGAGGCTAGATTTTACTCAAACACCTGTATCCACTGAATAAAATATTTATTGTAATAACACAGATATATTCCATGCTTAATGACTGCTTCCATTTCTGAACATTTAACTGTTTTTGTTTTATTTTTATAATTACAAAAATTATTATCCTTCCAATGTAATTGTTCATGCTGAAGATGATACCAAAGTTCTCAAAACCAAAGGAATCTTTCAATATATTATACCTAGAAGAAAATAGCATTAAATAAGCTTTCTTAATTCTAAGAGAAGCAACCAAAATTACATTTGCAAAATTGACTTTTGGAAAACTTTTATCTGTTACACTGAGATATTTTTAGCAACTCCTTGTATAAACAAATTTTTAAAAATGATGAAAAATACAGATGTTAGTCAATGAAAATAAAAAATGTCCAATGTTAAGAACATTTTATTGGAAAATGGAAAATAAGATTTCTAAAACTATTTGAAGTGTTTACAAATATTGTACAATAAAGGAGAAAATCTTTCCTACTGACTAAAATTTACAATATAACGTGGCAAATATATGACTCTTGACATGTTTTAATACAAGACACATTTCATTCTTGATTTCTTGTCTTCTTTCAGCCTGCATCACCAGAAAATAATCCTGGGATTAGCAAACAAAGTTACATCTTACTTAGAGTGAGATCTGTGATTTGATGACCCTTGATAAGGTAAAAAACTGCTGATGATAAGTCACCATTGTAGTATCATTGCTCAATGATCAGAAAGCATTTGCTGAAGAGTATCAATAATTAATGAAAGTTGGATGTTATTCTTGTCATCAGATTATTTCTAATACAGAACATAACTGAAGCTATTAGCTTGCATACACCTAGAGATATGTACATAGAAACATACCAGAGAAAGAGAGGGTGATAGAGAAGGCACCAGTGAAAGAGAAGGTGACATGAACACACAAGAGAAAGAGAGGGCAACAGGAACACACCAAAGAAAGAGAGAGCCTGATAGAGTGTTGAGGGAGATAAATTGTAGAAAATGAATGAGAGCAGCATCAACAAACAGAAGAATTTGCAAAATTCTAAATTTTCTCCAATTGTTCCAATTTAAAATAAAATTTGAAAGAAACATACAAACACCTTCAAATATTGATTTTCAGGTACCATGTATCCTCAAAGAATCAAATCTGACTAATCTTACACATGAGGATATGCAGACATGAGTACATATTGTTTAAATAAATATCTATTCATATGTATATAAATGTATACATTAAAAAAATAGATAAAATATACAAGAAAAAAGAAAGGAGATTCTAAAGTGAAAGGCAGATAAATATGAGTAAGAATAAGCCATCTTAACAGCCTAAAAGTAATGAAGCAGTTAAGCCTTTATGATAACTTATTTTCTTTGTTTATTCTCAATTTCCATTTCATTTACTTCTAGCTATGTATCTTTCTTTCCCATTATACATTTGCTCAATCAACTGATTATTCACACCTGTAATTTCTTCACAAACTCACATACCTTCATTAGCTTCCATGTTTTGAGTAAATTAATTTACACTTGTCTTTTTTTCTGGCAATTTAGAGCTTAATTCCATTAAAGTTTTGAGCTTCAAATTTTCCAACTTTTTTTTGCACTGTAGTTTGTTTTATCTATTGTTTAAATTTTTTTAAATATCTCTAATTTATATGAAAATAGTATATTCGAAAAAGAAAGAAAAAGAAAAGGAGTGACAAAAAAGAGAAATAGGCAAAAGGAGAAACCAAATAGAAATAGCAAAAAGGAGAGAGAAAAGAAAAAGAACAAAAAGGGAGAAACAGCAAAAATGAGAAAGAGAAAGAAAATAGCAAAAAAGAAAAAGACAAAAGAGAAATAGCAAAAAGGAAAAAGACAAAAGAGAAATAGCAAAAAGGAAAAAGACAAAAGAGAAATAGCAAAAAGGAAAAAGACAAAAGAGAAATAGCAAAAAGACAAAAGAGAAATAGCAAAAAAATAGCAAAAAGACAAAAGAAAATAGAAAAAGAAAAAAAGAGAAATAGCAAAAAGGAAAAACAAAAAGAGAAATAGCAAAAAGGAAAAAGACAAAAGAGAAATAGCAAAAGGAAAAAAAAAAAAGAGAAATAGCAAAAAAGACAAAAGAGAAAAAAAGAAAAAAGACAAAAGAGAAATAGCAAAAAGACAAAAGAGAAATAGCAAAAAGACAAAAGAGAAATAGCAAAAAGACAAAAGAGAAATAGCAAAAAGACAAAAGAGAAATAGCAAAAAGACAAAAGAGAAATAGCAAAAAGACAAAAGAGAAATAGCAAAAAGAAAAGACAAAAGAGAAATAGCAAAAGGGGAAAAAAACAAAAGAGAAATAGCAAAAAGGAAAAAACAAAAGAGAAATAGCAAAAAGGAAAAAGACAAAAGAGAAATAGCAAAAAGGAAAAAGACAAAAGAGAAATAGCAAAAAGGAAAAAGACAAAAGAGAAATAGCAAAAGGGGAAAAAAACAAAAGAGAAATAGCAAAAGGGAAAAAACAAAAGAGAATGGGAAAAGCCAAAGAGAAATAGCAAATAAGAGAAAACAAAGACAAATAGTGAAAAGGAGTAAGCACAGAGAAACGGGGAAAAAATCCAAAAACAAATAGTAAAATTATAAACCAAAGAGAAAAAGGAGAAACTAAAGTGAAATCACAAAAAGATGACACCAAAGAGTAATAGCTAAAAGAAAAAAACCAAAGAGAAATAGGAAAAAGGAAAATTCAAAGAGAAATAGGAAAAAGGAAAATTCAAAGAGAAATAGTAAAAAAGAGAAACAAAAAAGTGAAAGTAAAAAACAGGAAATAGCAAACAGGAGAAAACAAAGAGAAAAAAAAAGGAAAAAAAAATAGAAAATAGTAAAAAAGAGAGGAAAACAGAAGAGAAAAAGGAAAAACAAAATAGAAGTAGTAAAAAGGAAAAACAAAATAGAAGTAGTAAAAAGGAGACAGGAAAGAGAAGTGGGAAAAAGGAGACAGGAAAGAGAAGTGGGAAAAAGGAGACAGGAAAGAGAAGTGGGGAAAAAGGAGACAGGAAAGAGAAGTGGGGAAAAAGGAGACAGGAAAGAGAAGTGGGGAAAAAGGAGACAGGAAAGAGAAGTGGGGAAAAAGGAGACAGGAAAGAGAAATAGGAAAACGGATACAGGAAAGAGAAATAGGGAAAAAGAGAAACAAGAGAGAAATAGGAAAAAGAGAAGAGAAATAGCACAAAAGAAATAGAAAAGAGAAAAACCAAATTGGAAAAAAGAGAAAAGGAAAGAAAAAAAAAAACTGAAAAAAGAAAAACCAGAGAAGAAAATAGAAAAAAAAAAAGATAAAAACAAGAAAAGAAAAACAGTAATAGAAAACAGAAAATAAGCAAAAAGAATAAAAAGTAAAAAGATCAGACAATAAAAAAACTAAAAAAAACCTCATTTTCATAAATTTTTACTCTTGAGATAAAACCCACTAAACTTCTTTATGCAATATCTTTTGTAGCAGAACCCATAGTCTGAAATCTTTTTACTGTTATTTAGATAAAAGAACATTTGTGCAGTTGCCAGCTTTAAGAAATACACTGCAACTGTGTAAAATTCTAAACACAAATTTGTAAATCATATCTTAATTCTTTCTCTCCATTATCTTATCTTTATTCTGATAATAATCTTATTGCCATAAAGATTAACATCTCTGATCATTTAAAATGACTGAAGAATCAAACATTAACATTACAACTCTATATTTATTTGGATAGCAAGTATTATTTACAAGCAAAAATTACAAATCAAATTATTTTAATTCTAATTATTAATCACAGAAGCATTCATTTTCATCAAGGTTGCAAAAAGAAAATATAAAGTCAGCTTACGTTTTTCCATACATATGTCTATAAACTAAGTAACATATAATAACAAAAATACTAAAGAACTTTGGATTATTTACCTAATGAGTTCCTTCCTATTTTCTATATATTTTTTAATACATGTGTATATATATATATATATATATATATATATATATATATATATATATATACACACACACATATATATTTAGTTAGTTAGTTGGATTGATGTGAGTTTCTATATATGTTAGCTCTATCACTGATATTGAGCACTTTCCAGTAAGTACCACACATATTATATATATATATATATATATATATATATATATATATATATATATATATATACAGACACATTTTATTTATATATATATATATATATGTATGTATAAATAAAATGAGTAGATAGGTTCATCTACCATCTGTTTTATATTCCTCCCCAGCCTTTTCAACAGGAGTAGAGGTTTATCCCTTGTTTCCTGTTTAGGATTGGGTTCCCATTTCCTTCTAAATGCTACTTCAACTCTATACTTCTAACAACTCCACCTGAATTCTGAAATGTTATTCACTAATTAAATCTTGACCTCTTCAAGTCTAGAGTTAGCTATTATCTTTCCTGTATATCCCAAGAACTTCACTTCTTATCCTTTCTTATGCTAATACAACATGACACTGTAATCATCTACCTTGAGATGCTCTTATGCCTTATAGTGGGTGAACATTAGTAAAAAAGACTACAATGAGAAAACCATAATGTAGCAATTTTCCATTTTGCAATTCTATTTATATGTTTCAGTAATTATATATATATATATATATATATATATATATATATACACACACACACACACACACACACACACACACACACAGGGTGATTGAAAAGTAACTCCCCATTTTAAAATACTTATAATTTATTTATTAGCTATAATTTTTACAAGAAATGGATATAAGATGAAATCATTTAGCATGAGGTTTGATTTAAAATTTGATATGGTTTCCAGATTCCACTAGCTGCTTCTCAAGCTGCCCAGGAATCGTGTGAACTGATTTCACCAGGAACTCTTGTGGTATGGAAGACATAACCTCTTGCATTTGCCCTTCAAGTTCTTCCAAAGTCTTGGTTTGGTATAGCAGAATTGCCCTTTAACCAACCCTCAAAGAAAAAAAAAATCACAGGGTGTTAAGTCAGAATCCTATCTGGCCACTCATACATAAAATAGGAGTTATATATATATATATATATATATATATATATATATATATATATATATATATATACATACATACATTTCATTTCTTAAACAGTTCTCAGTAATATTTACAGTTTAAATATCATTTTATTATTTATATCTAAGTACTTGTTTTATATATTACACAACTGAGCAGTTAATGCTTAACCCTAAAGTGATATACCTATGGTATAAGAACTAGGGATCCTCCAGGCCTTAAAATAAAAACATTCTCTATAAAAAAAAAACTGTTTTAGTTCATGAAACTCTGAACATTGTACAACTTTTTTGTTCTCATTACTGAGCCGACAATGTATAAAGACATCAAAATAATTTATGGAATGTATTTTACCCAAATTAAAATGAAATGTGCAGGAGACCCAGGTCTATCAAAAACTTGGAGTACCAATCAAGGATCAATAGAATTAGTTAATAATACAAATTAATTATTAATTAACTATTTTTCAATATTAGCCTGTGTGTGTATCCAGCAGTTTACTTGATTCTGATGTAGGATTACCATCTCATCATTAATTTAGAAATAGTTTTTAAATATATTTTACCTAAGTACTTGCTTTTAAATAACATTTCATGTTATATTTTTATCTTGACAAAGAATCTTAAGAACAACTTATATGTCAATTTTTTCTTTAAATATATGTCAGGACATATGTGATTATGGCTCAACATCCATCCCTTTTCTCTTTTATTTGTGAATTGCTATGACTTCTTAAGAAAGATAATAGAATGGTTTCTGGCTGATTTCTCTTTTGAATTCAGCACTGCTTTTTCTTTAACTGGCTGACACCTAAGACCCAATCTACTTCGTTATCTAATGCATAGCTGGTGGGAAGAAAAAATGCATTCATGCTTTTTCCAAGGGCATTAGTACAATGGGAACAGGAAAGGAACTGATATGGAATTTGAACTCTGCTTATTAATTCCACTTTCAGTGCCAATGACAATTATGCAAAC